GAGGAAGTCACCATGCTGGTAGCCAGGAGAGGGGTCTTCCCTGCCTGGAGTCATGATAACTCTCACTGCTGGTAGATTTAACACCAAGCATAAAATTCCACCTTGACACTACAGAACATGGGGGCTGGTTTCAGGCAAATATGTTATCTACTGGAAGCTTTGCTGGACAACAGCTCTTTACACAACCTCATCACTACAGTACAGGAAGGTGAATTTTCTTCTAACTCTAACCCATTCCAGCTAAAATCTGGTGCTTTTTACTTCTGAGTGCTGCAACACCAGAAAGCTGCTATCAACATACAACAGCTTGAGAAACAAGATCTGTGCTGTCTTTGGTCATACGCTTTTTGACAAAACTGCAACTAGCAGTGCAAACACTGAATATGCATCTACATTACTGTCTGTTAGTCTTAATGGTTTGTGACTTGCTGACTGGTGGCTAATACCAGAAGAACCTAATCACCCAAGAACATCATGACAGACAAAGCTTCTGTTACTACTTTTTAACCCACAGGTGTGCTAACATGCTTATACCAGAATGCTTAATGTATCTCATACCATCAGAATTGGGCTCATGATACTTCAATTCCCTTTTATTCTTTGTCTTCTACATTAAATTACCTAATTCCCTGATATGATGAATTTCAGTCGTTCACAATTCAGCACTACAAAATTCAACAAACATCAGCTCTATGTGATGTTCATAAAGTCTTTATGAAAACTTATTTTCCTGCCCTTACACAGTGAGTCTCCTTTCATCTAGGGTCACAACAGCCAAGGAGATCGGCTGCTCACAAAAAGACTGCAGATCAAGAGTCTCCCAGACTAAATGCAAAGGCTGGAACACTTCAGCATCTAACAGACAGTTCTGCACAAGAGAGGCAAAGAAAACATGCCTGGAAAGCTGAAAAACCTGAACATGAATTCACTTACAACAGGAGGGCAGTCAAATACTCCCAGGTAACATTCCCAGAGCAACCAGATATACAGCATGAATAAACCACAAGTCTACAGAATAACAAGCCCCTGCATCCATACACTTACTATCTTTAGTACAGGGAAATGGAAATCTACAGACAGAAGAAAGAAGAGATTCAGGGAGCATTACAGTGCCCAGTTTTCACTCAGCAGAGACAACAAAATCCCATAAAAGAGTAATACCTAACCCAACAGCAATGGCAAAGAATCATTGATGCCACAGACACAAAAGTAAGACCCGTGGATGACAATTATATTTAGTGTTTTCTGCCATGATTTGTGTGAAATGCGGCCGCTAAATACAGTATGCCACTTAAAGGAGTTGGTTTGTTGTATGCCAGAGCTCCAGCTCTGGATGTTTTAACAGGTAAAACCAGACATCTTAAAAGATGGTCAGTTTAAGTCTACATATATACCATCTGACCATGTAAACCCTATAAGAAAACACCACAAATAGCTAAGCCAGAAATAAGAGGACTAGAGAAATTAAGTATCCACCTTTCCTTTACATTTCTTTTAATAACACTTTATTTGCCAATTCACCCTTTCCAACAGTCAGTAAAATTTCTGTGGTTTTATGATCTTTTGACCATCAGCAAGAGCAATATAAATTATTAAAAAGAGAAATATTCACAAGCAGCAAAGGAATTCAATGAAGCTGCAGAACATGCACTTACTATATAAACCTATTTTTAAAACCTTGACTGGTTTTTAAGATAATATCTCTTTATCAGCTTTTATAAGTGTTATGAAGCATACATTCTATTGTGTTCGACAGTAAGTTGCATTCTAGGGCAAATGGAGTTGGCCTTGGGCAAGACAATTTCTACTTCACTTCCCACATTTACAAAACAAGGATAATATTTGCTTATTTCACAAGAGTGCACGAAGATTCAAGAGCACTATCAGACTACAGATCATTCTCATAGAATTAATGTTTTAACTATTTTTTAATGTTAATTTCACTAGTCTGGAGAGCATTTACAAGTAAAAACAAAATACAAATCACTTTGATTTCTCTTCTAGTTAACATATAGCGCGTACTGTTTTCTGGTTTGATCTACAAACAACTGGATAATGTTTGCATCTAAACACTTTTTACTTCTGTAATTTCAAGGAATACAATGTAGAAAAACAACTACCAGTTTTCTGCAATCACATTTTGTGGCCCACAGGAAGAGAATATCCCTCTTCAAGGTTCACAAGACATTCTGGAAATGCAAACACTTTATGCAACTATGCACCTATTAATTTTCTTGCTGCATACACCCACACTCCCAAGATACAATAAGAGTTTCTCTACTGCAGAAAACAGTACTATAGCACACAACTGAAAGCTTCTAGAAAGATAATATAAAAGAAAATTGCTTATACACACTAAATAAAACAATAATGCTAACTTCATATTGGAAGATTTATGCCATATGCTTTTCCACTATGTTTTAGTAGACAGAATTGTCAAAAGCGAAACAAAAAAACCATCACTTGTCACTGCCTGCAGCATGTTGCTCCTCATTTTAGAAATATAGGGAATGCTACTCAGTGCCATCATCACTTTGGGGAAAAAAAAAAAAAGTCAAGATAATTCAGAGTGATCAAGAGATCTGTGAATATAATCTAAACTGATGATTCAGCAAACCCTGGCACTCTCAGCACACCCAGGAAGGACAACATTATCAGCTCCAAGTTGACAGTAAGAAAATAGGTGCTTTGCACTTGGCTAATAGCTTCAGAACCAACAGCAATGCCAAGCACAGGCAGTTGAAACTGCGATTCCCACGGCAAAATATACTTCCACAAAAGTAACACACTCAGGTTTCCAACTACAAAACATAGTCAAGATGTTTCAGAAGTGAAGCTCTGATGTTAGCTATGTATTTTTCTGGCAGAGCTCCAGGAGCCAAAACAGCAAACACATCAGCCAGACGGGTTCTGTGACATTCTGTATTTATACTAACACAGACCACCTTAACACCAGGTCCTTCTTTGCTCCAGCCACCAGCAGTGCAGGAAATTAGCATTAAATTTCCTCTCTACACCTGTTTTTACCTGCAATGCACTTTTCCAAGAGCTCAAGATACTTGCAAACCGCTTTTGTTGGTTTGGTTTGGGGATTTCTTGGCACAGACTTCTCCAGTTTTATCTGCCACTATCCACTACAAAAGAGTCAAAGGTCAGTCTTGCAGACTTGTTTGCTTTACGCTCTCCTGCACTGAGGCAGAGTAGTAAATGACCAAGTGTTTCTAACAGCTTACCTGTTTGGCATCACAACTTCCGTGAATGCTTTCTGACAGTTAAGCTGCACACCACCCCTGCAGGTACTTCTAAGGGACAATTTTGAAAATTTTCTAGCTAAGTGAAAGAACACTGACTCATCACAAATTCTGGCATTTTCTCTGCTGCTTCCATCATGATCTCTCCTCATGTTTTTCCTTGCTTCAAATAGGAAAAAGATTGCTCAGGAATTGTGTCCTTATTGCAGAGTTGTGTCCTTACTTCCTCATATTTTGATAAGGGAAAGAGGATATTCACTTCTGGAAGCAGCTGGCACATCCAATCATAAACTTATAGTCATCTGACAAGAGGATACACAAAAGTGCACTGATGGGAAAACTACTTGAAAGAGAAACATGCTGCCATAAAAAAGCATCCTAGAGACATCAAGGAACAACCACCTACTAACAAACTTGCATTTTACAATCAGACATCCCCCACATGGCTGTTAACAGCCCAGACACATTAACTAGGAACACCTGGGTAACAGCCAAAATAAAACACATCCAGATCTGTATCTACACTAAGATCTATCTTTTAGATCCCTCTCACTCCTAGAGGGCAGTTAAGTATCTGTGTGGCATTTGGGAACTCAAGAGCACTTCTGGCTCCTAAAAAGCAGGCTTTCTGATATGCAGAACTACAGCCCTCTCTAGTCAGTCTATCCAAGCTGGCTTAGCACAGTCTTCAAAGCTGCCTGCAATTAGTTTTTTTGTTAGAAGAGAAATAATATTACTTGAAACCCAAACTTCCTATGATTGTGCCCCAGGGGCAATACTTGTAGAATGATAGAGGTCAGCAGCACTACTGCAAATGCTTCCTGTAATTTCAGAGTAGCACAGGAGAAAACGGATGGGTGAAATTATACAGCAGCTGCCAAAGCAGTGAAGGGAAAGAAATGAGGTACGTATCTCCTCTCCACACCCCTCCCCCAAAAGCCTTGTAACTCTTTATAAAGAATTTTGCGAACCGTTTAGATGTTTTCTTCTCCACCGGGCGCACTTGTAAAAATCAAGAACCACAGCACAAGACGAAGAAACAGCAGATGTCAGTTGATAGAGCAACCACGAAGCTAAAGTTTTCATGGCGAGACTTGAAGAGACTACCTCCCGGAGCGCTAAGAGCGCAGTGAAACCCTCCCCTCATCACTATTTTTGGTACTCCAGCTCCGGCCCCGCCGTGCCAGGGCGCTGCGGGAGGACTCCCAGTCCCCGCCGAGACGAGGCAGGTAGCCCGGGGCGCCACCGCGGAGCCGGGCTGTACCTTTAAGGGGCCCGTCGCGGCGGGTGCGCGGCTGCATTCCTGCTGCGGAGCGGCGGCTGTCCCGACACGCCGGGCACGGCAGCCTGCGAGGCAACCTGCGCGCCCGCCCCGGCCCGGCCCGCCGCTCGCACCGCGGGAACAAAGCCCGCGCCCGCCGCCGCCAAACTTCCGCGGGGGGCAGCGGCCGCGTGGGCGCCCCCAGGGCAGCGCCTCTCCGCGCCCCGCGCTCCGGCCTGCCGGGGCATTTCGCCGGCTCCAGCCCGCCGCGACACGGCGAAGGCGAGAGCCCCGCGTCCGGGCGCGGGACGGGGCGCGGACAAAGCGCGGCGGGGCGGCGCAGGGCAGGGCTCCCCGCCCCGCGGGCAGGTGAGCGGCGCGGCCGGCAGGGCTCTGTGCCCGGGCACGGTTCTCCGCCGCCGAGCCCGGGACGGCAGCTGGGCCCCCCGCGCTGCCGCGGGGCAGAGCGTGCCGCGGCAGCCGCTTACCTCTGGAGCGGAGCAGCGCTCCCAGCAGCACCAGCAGGAGCTGCGGAGGCGCGGGCAGGAGACAACCCCCGCCGCGCCGCCTCATGGTGGCAGCGCCCCGGCCCCGTGCCCGGGCCGCCCGCAGCAACGTCGCGGGCTCCTCCTGCGCGGAGCACCCCGGCACGACCGCCGCTCGCTCCGTCCGCAGCCGCGGCACTCCGGGACCGGGGGCTCCTTCCACTCTCCGCCCGCCCAGGCCCGGCCCCGAAGGAGGAGCTCCGCCGGGGCAGCCCCCGCCCCGCTCTCCCCAGCGCTGAGGCACTTCGCAAACTTTCGGCGCGGCAGAGGCGGTCCCGCGGCCAGGCGCGCACCTCCTTTCCTCACCCCGAGGGGCCGTCGCCCGTCACCGCAGCGAGACTCTTGGGCTCGCCCAGAGCCCTCAGCCTCCGGTACAGCTCCCTCACCGCGGGCGGGGAAGCCCTTCCTAAAGCGGCTCGGGGCCGTCGGTGTCGTGTCTCCCTGTCCCAACTCCCGCAGCATCGCCAAGTAACATTGCTCCGGGCTCACGGCTGCCCGCAGCAGGGATGCCCGCTACCCTCCGGTCCCAGCGCGTTGCCACCGCTTCCCGACTTGTGCCAGCCTGCTGTACCCAGGACAAATCGCAGAGCCCTTTTCCCCGTCCCGTCCCCCGTTTGCCAAACTCCCTTCGAAAAGGAAACGTTCACGAGCCCTTTGCCCAGCATGCATGTTGCTACCTATGAGAAACATCTGATTTTTCCCTCCGTTCGTGACAATATTCTGCTATTTTGTGTTTTTCTAATAGCCGCGGTGTCCGAAGGTAGCTAACTATGTACGAATCTCAGGTACCCTACAAAAAGATTTAGGGTCGTTTCCTGCAGGAGTAGAAATGAACTCTTGGACAATTGGCTTAGGCTCTGTGCTGCATTAAAAAGCAGACGGGCTTTCACTGGAGGTCACCCTTAGAGCCAGTTTTATGATCTTTTTGGTATGATTTGACGTTTTAATGCATAGGGTTGACAATGCAAGGAACTGTTAAATAATTAATCTCAGTTGATTTCAAAGTATTAACTTGAACAGAAAGCTGACTCAGATAGTCCAAATTCTGGACCACAGAGGAAGATGAGAATTTTGTCAAATTGACATCAAAGGGCAGTAATAGAAATAGTCCTATTTAAAGCCTTTCCATAGATGACTCCAGAGGAAGCTGCAATTAATCCCATCTCTGAAACAATCACAAGAGTAAGAAAATGGCACAGCATGTGATTGAATTATGCCATTCCTATTAATTAAGTGTAAAATGGTGAAGACAAGGAGTATTATTAAAAACGTCAACATAAAATTAAAACAGGGACTGAGTCTTGACAAATTGTGCTCAGTGAAAAGAGAAAATAATCCAACACAGCTTCACCGAGGAGAACTCCCAAGAGCAGTAATACCACAAGAAACAGTAAGCAGCAAACCATGCTTAAATTCTTCTGTACATGGCCACCAAAATTTTTAAAAAGCAGACTTTTTCTTTATATGCAGAACCACTGCCTCAAGATAGGAATAGATCCATGTTAGTGCAAGATAGGCAATGTGTGCAAAGTTGCAGAAGATAACAACAAATACAGGTAATCAAGAGGGACTGTTGAGGTGAAGAGATTAAAAAACTTCTCTATTTTAATATTGCATTGGAGTCAGTGACAGACTGAGGTACAGAAAGTATATGCCATTATGGTAAAGTAATAAACTCCAAGATATCAGAGTTTAAGATGACTGAAGGGGAAGAATTCTGAATAGTGGGTTAAAGTTAAGAGAAAACAATAACCTCACACTGAACAGCTGACTGACTAGAATGCAAAACCCTCACTGTATCTCCCTAAAATACAGAGCAACATAACCAAAATTCATTGAAGTTTATATTCTTATTAAGGCTAGATCATCAGGTAGTATAACTCAGAGGAGTCCTTCTGACTTCAGGCTCACAGAAGCTTTCAGAAGTTTAGGTGCTGAAGTACTGAGTGTGATAAAGCACAGACAAGAACTTGATAATTATCTACTTAGATCATGGAACACTCAGCTGTTAAGATGAGTATTTCCCTGTGTTTGAAACAAAAGCCTCTTGAAAAATATTGTCCCAAATACAAATAAATTCACTTGTTAGCTCTTCAGTTCTTCTCTCCCCAGAGAACAGATGTTTTTACCCACTCTGTTAAAGTGTGTTTACCAGTCCTCTGCATCCTGCACTGTATTCTGGCAAATCACTTTCCTCTCTAAGCTCAACTTCCTTAAACTGTATCTCTGTCTTATTAGTAATTTTGAAATGCCCTGGTGAAATGTTAGAGAAGCACATAGTATTATCTTTCCCAAAAATCTCCTAAATAGGTTGCAATTGAACAGATGAACATTTATATTATAAACTTCTCAATTACCTACGTGTTGATAAATTCTTTGATTGAATATAGCCCTGATTACATGTGGGATCTTTGCGGAATAATTGTAAAGTAGATTTGTGCAGTGTAAAATGGATATTTATGGTAAAAACAGAATAGTTGCTAAATAATACTGGTAAAATTTAACCATATGCTTTGGTCTTGCCTCTTTCAGACCAAATAACTTTAGGATTATGGAAATATCAGAAAACACTTCAACCCATGCACAATGTAGGTAATTGCTTCTACCCACACCTATGAGGGAGGAGCATCATGAAGTAACCTGCAATAATTTACAGATCACTGATAAGTGATATATAACGCAAGTGTTGTGAGACAGATGAGAAAGAAGTAATTAAAATATAATTAACAATTAATATATATGACAACATGCCCAAACAAAAAAACTCAACCAGTCACTATAAATGGAACAGGAAGAAGATTGTTATCCTAATAACCATTTTGGGATATAATTCAGATACACCCCCTCCAAAAAGAAACATTACAGAAACAAACCAATCCAATGATAGAAAATAAGTGTTCTGAAATAATACTAATAGTTTGCATCATTTTCAGGGTGATTTTAAATAACAAACCTATGTCAGAAAAAAGACAACCAAGAACATGGTGTCATTGGAAAAAGAAGAAAGGGACCAGAATGAGGTAGGATTATTAGGGAAAATACACTTTATCTATTTTGAAACTGCAAAGATCTTAATAGGTTTAAAGAAAGAAAGGGGGAAACAAAGAAAAAAAATGTCTAAGTCTCACCTATCAAGGTATTTTTAAAGGGCTCAAATGAGCTTTTCCTTGTGAAGATGCTTTTCCACACCTCAAGTTTCTTAGAAGAAAACAACACATTGAATAGTTTAATTGTTGTGTTCAGAAAGGTTTGGAGCAATCATGTTCTAAATACTTGAGATAGAGTTAATTAATTTACTAGAATGAAAAACACATGAAAAATTAGTAAAATGCATTTGTGCTAAACCAAGTTCCCTTTTTTAAGTCATGTAAAACTTGCTGTGTGACCAGAAGGCAACACACATGATACACCTTGTATGGCTTTTGGCATCATCTCACAAGACACTTTCATAGAACAACATTTTAAATATAGATATGGGAAGATGTGCAAGCATCTGATAGAAGGAAACCACAGTGGTCATTAGTCATTATTTCAAAAGGCAAAGGCACTTCAGATCTGTTTCAAGATATGTCCTGAGTTCTGTTCTTTCTACTATGTTCACTGACAACTTAAACGATGCAATACTTAGGCTTGTAAAATCTGTGCTACAACAACTGATAATTTCAAAACAAAGGCAAAGGGCTGGAAACGCTAGGAAGGATGAGATCAGACACACCAAATCCTACTGACAAATTGGTCAGGTTGTCCAAAAACCAACAAGGAAAAATACAGTAGTTACAAACATATTATTCTTTGGAAACAGAATGAAAAATTAATAAACTGCACGGAATTTTGGGCTAGACGGGTACAGCATCTTAGGATAACAAGCAGTATAAAACATCAGTGCAGCAGCACTGCCAGGAATGTGTTGAATTCTGGAACACCTTAACAGGTGTGATACATATGAGACAATTTGATTTCTTAAATTCACGTAATACTGAAGCCCCAGTTGGATACTGTGTCTGGTCCCGCCTGAACACCATAGAAATATAAAAACTGCTGAAGAGAAACAAGAAAATAATAAGAACAAGAAATGTATAAATCAAGCCCTTTGAGAAAAAGCGGAAAGAATTAGGTATGCCTAGTCAAGAAATAAAAGCTTCAAGCCAGATGCAGCTTTCTGATATTTATTACAGCTAATTACAGAGATGTTGATCAGCCATCCTCTATGGCTCCAGTAGAAAGACATGAAAGAGTCAACTTTATTTGCAACGAGAAGTACTTAAAAGATTTTTCTGATCAGCATTCCATCTGAGGATTTTTCAACAACGGAGCAGTTTGACATGGGGGACTGTGGAATATCTTCCACTGGATTTTTATTAGAACACAATTTGATAAGCATGCTGGTACTAGCCTTGATATGTTTAGTCTTGATGCAGTACAGACTGGATGAGGTGATATTTTGGAACCCCTATCGAATTTAGATTCTACAATGGAAATTCTAAACTGGAAAGATAATTACAAACTCTGCACTCTGACCAAATTCTGTTTTACTAGTGACCTCCACTAAATAAACAGAAAAGACAGGAAAGCACCAAAATGTTCCCAACAGGGCTCTAAGTTTAAGATAAAACTATAGGTATTAGACCATGAGATTTTCCAGTGGCCCTTTTAATTTCTTTAGTTATTTCACTGGTACATTACCCACACCAGTTCCCTCTTCCATACCACCAGTGAACTAAAGAGGTGGTAGCTTGGGTTCCCAGGTAAGTTAAAAGTCAGATTTTACCCATACATAGGATAGTTGGGTGTCCAGCTTCACTGATGTAAAGAAATAGTTTAATTTTCCAAAGAGCTGAGGGATTGACAGCTTTTGCATCTTTTGGTTACCTAGTTTGTAAATTATGGTCTCCATGTTAAATACATTAAATGAAATTTAAACATTCATTTATATTTTATATGATCAACTTTTCCTTTGCTGCCTTTCCTTAAGTTTTCTAAGTACTGGCACTACTACTGTGTACCCAGAGATGCTTGTAGGTGTCATAAACATTCATATACTGTCACCATTGTCCCCTTTGATGTTTCTCAAGTTACTGCTCACTTATTC